TAGTACAACACGCTCAAGTACGTGTAGAGGCTTCCTTTGATGGAGCCATTCATGACTGGGTTTGGCTTTTTGCATGAAATGGCTTCACAGTGTGGGGAAGCACCACTCCACTTTCTGTTCTGTAGACAAAGTCTCATGTCAGAGCCCACGAGAACATGTCCTGGTTTGCAGCCATACTGCACGGCACTTCCCATGCTAGTCTCCGTAAAACGCAGAAAGCCATTTTCAGGAGCGATAGGAAAGTCACATTCAATTGAAATGCAGGAGGGTGCACTGCCATTCCAAGTCCCATCTTCCTGGCAGATCAGCATAGGGTTCCCCAAAAGTTCATATCCTGGATTACAGGTATATAAGACCATGGTGCCATATAGAAAGTTTGACAATGGTGTAGGAGATTCCTTTGCATTTTCCTGGGTTTTAGCCACTGTTCCCATATGATGAGGAGGGTGAGGAGTCAGATATGGAACTTCCATCACATCATCTTCTTGTTCAAAATATCCCTGGCCATCCTTGACTTTAGTACAGTCTCCAAAATCTATGTGAGGAGGGAGGCCACAGTCTATAGGTACACACGTTGGGATGGAGCTTGACCATCCTGCCTCTTCACAGGTCTGCATGGCGAGACCAGCTACCTGGAACCCAGGGAAGCAGCTGTAGATGATCATGGCACCATAACTATAATCTGCACCTTCTACAAAACCATTTTCAATGGGTTGTGGGGGATGACAGTGGATGGCATTGCAAGACGGGGCATCCACATCCCAATCACCCGTCTCTAAACAGGTCAAGGCTTTGGGACCTTCGAGCCGGAAGCCTCGGTCACAATAGTATGTAACGCTCTGTCCATAATGCAGGTTTGTGTAAGAGAATTTGCCATTCAAAATCTCCTTGGGCTGGGGGCACTCAATGGGCTTACATGTGGGTTTTCCTCCGAGCCACTGACCATTTTCTCCACAAAGGGTGCTGGTATTTCCCACCAACTCAAAGCCTGGCTTGCAGGTATAGAGAGCTGTGCTGAGATAGGCAAGACCCTGCACGTCTATGATGCCGTTGAGGATTTCCTCGGGTTGGGGACATTCTACTGGAACACATTCGGGCAGTGGAGAGCTCCAAGTGCCATCAGCTTGGCAGAGGGTGGTGGGATCTCCCCTTAGGAAAAACCCGTCTACACAAGAATACTTAACAGTACTTCCAAAATGAAGAGCAGAAGAAGGGGCAGGGACCCCGAAGGAAATTAGGGGTGGTGGTAGGCAAAGAACCATCTTACAGACAGGGAAAGAGTCGTTCCACCGCTGGGAGGGCAAGCATTTCAAGACGGAGGGGCCTTGCAGGGCCTGTCCTTCTTTACAGGAGAATGTCACCACTCCCACCTCAGCCATCAGCTCCTTCATTACCAGCTGGTTTTCCACGAGGGGTGGCTCTGGGCACTTGGCTGGCACGCACTTTTGGTTTGGTTTCTTATTCCATTTGCCAGATTTCTGGCACGTCCAAGAACTATCACCAATAAGCTCATAGCCCTCATTGCAGAAAAACTGCACCTTGGAACCTACTTCAAAATTTTCTCCTTTCACGAAGCCATTCTGGATGGGGGGAGGTTTCCCACAGTTGAGAGGGATGCATGACAGGGGGGAGTCACTGTGCCAGTGGCGATTTGCTTGGCAGACAAATACGGGACTTCCAACTGGCTTGTAGCCCGGGTTACACTGAAAGCTCGCTTCACTCTCAAAGATCCTGCCAGTTGTATGCTGTGTGGCAAAGAGAAAGCAAGTGAGTGCAATTTGTATCACAGATCAGACATTTCACTAAAGACTTGGATCGTAAACAAGAGCCACACAAAAAGCCCGGCATTACAATGTATCCATTAGGACTTAAATAGGTAAGGATTTATGGTTTTTTTCCAATAGGTTCACTGTATTTTTTGAAATAAGTGCAAAGGACAGAAGCTCAACCTGGGTAATCCCTACTGCAGAAATGATTATCACAGTGCTGAACTCATCGCAAGTAGAAGATCAAAAGCCTCTATATTGATTGATGCTATGATGAAACAATGTTGAAAATTATAAATTACTACGTAAGTTCAAAACAATCTTGCTGATCAAATAAATGCTAGTGAAGGAAACAAACAAGTACACATGTGTTTGTTCATGTTGTTAGATCATAAACAAGGCAAATTAATATTTTTCATGGATATGTCCTAAGAATACTATCAAAGTTTTGTTTATGTTCTTAACATAGTTTTTAGAAATTGCTACTATGAGAATGGAAAATAAAAACACTATTCTAATCTTTCAAGTGAAACAATTAATATTCCTGATCTTAGGATTCAAATAAGTATATAACTTCATTTTTAGGCAGATGAATTAATTATGGAAGTATAAAAAGATTGTCATGGTTTTCTGTTAGTGGTAATGTGAAGACAACATAGCTTTTGTGCCTTTTTAGTGAATTTAGCAGCATTTGGAATTAATGATTTATTTTGTTTACCTATGTATTGCTTGGTGCCCACATGGAGGTAAGCTCTATGCCATCTCACACCTAACCTGTGCTTTTAAAGACCAGATTGCCAGTGCTCAGAGCTACACCTGATGTCTTGCAGGAGCTCTAGAAATATTTGTTAAATTAGTCAATGAAGAATGTGTCCTTACACATTCACTCTACAATCCTCTTCCAAAAACCAAAAAACCAAGCTGATAAATTTAAGCAAAAAGCCTTACATAGAAGGCTCTTACTGTTGTTTCGCAGTTGTTTTTGAATGTGAAGGAGACAGGGTAATACTTCTGTATGTGCTGGTTTTATAAAAGTTTGATTGGAATAGTGTCTATTTAAAAATGACCCTTGATTTGGGATAGATTTTCCTTCTGTTGATGGATTTATTGAGAAGACACATCTTAGTATGAAAGCAGGACATGTCTGGGTTGGACTCAACCCTTTGTTTTTCAGGGTGAAATTACTTTTAGGTCTTCCAAGAGAGAGGTGCAAAAACTCCATCTTAATTTACCCCATCTTTTGTCTAAAAATTTAAAAAATGCTAATATATTTTTCTAGGCCCTATTTAGCCTTTGATTTCTATAAAAAAAATAGTATATATCCATCTTGAAATAAATTCTGCGAAACAAAATAGCATTATGTTAAAACTGTTGTGCTCTAACTTCTTATTTAGGGCTAAGCGATGCTCCAAAGGACTTAGAATGCCTATATGCTAGTAAAATGCAGAAAATTATATACTAAAAGAATTTGTAATTATCTTTGCTAATTTTTCTCCAATCTTCACTACCTATAGACTTCAGTCATTTCTATTTTTCAGTAATTAATCTGTTTAATGTCTCTGCTTCTGTCTGGGTTGGTAAATGACAAAAGCCCTGGGCCATTTGCTAATTCGTCTCTTACCTCCAGAAAGCCATTCTCAACCTTAGGAGGTTCATTGCAAGATACAGGGTGGCAGGTGGGCATGGGGCTGCTCCACTGCCCTGTGGCCTCACAGGTGCTCTTCTTCTCCCCTTTAATGTAGAATCCCTTGTTGCAGCTATAAGCCACCATGGCTCCAAAGCTGTAGTTGGACCCGCTTGCATAGCCATTCGTGATGCTCGGTGGCTCTCCGCACCGCACGGGGATGCACTGGATGGACATGGGGGAAGGGTTCCACTGCCCGCCTCTCATACATTCGATCTTTGCTGAGGTGTTCAGCACAAAACCTTCCATGCATTTGAAGCTCACAACTGAGCCAGCTGCAAATTTTGCTTTGCTCACGGATTCCAAGATGCTATAGGAAACAGATGGGGGTTTTTCACAGAAATGAGCTATACAACGGGGTACGTCCTGACCCTCTGGGGGAACCCACTTGCCCTGCGCATTGCAGAGGAGCTGGGAATTGTCTGCTAGACTGTAACCATCCGAGCAGTAGTAGAATGCAATGTCTCCAAAGAGCCGATGGGCAGTTTCTGGAGAGGCGTGATCCACATTGGGGGGCTCATCACAGGAGACAGCCAGACACTGCTGGTTACTTCCACTCCACTTGCCGTTGGCCAAGCATTCAATGGTGTCAGGGCCAGCCAAGGTATAGCTGTGAAATTGGGGAGGAGGAAATAATAAGTATAATATCTGAGTAGAAGTGTTTGTATCTTCTTATTCTGTTTTTATTTTTTATTTTTCCAACAATGACTTCCTTTTATTCTTTAAAATATTCTTTATTCTTCTACTTTAAAAAGTAGAACCTCTGTAAGTTGACCACCCAAGGGCTTATAACAAATTGTTCCATGTACCAAGGTGGTCAACATAAGGAACTAGGTCTGCTCTACTGATGCGTACACACAGTGCATGTATAGTGTATGAAACTTGGTCACTATAAGGAGGTGGTGAACTAGGGAGGTTACCATGGGAATATTAAGCTTATTAACCAAATGACTTTCATTTGAGATGACTTTCATCTTGATATTAATATTGATTGTTCAGAAAAAAAGAATTTATGATTTTTTGCTATATAAGCAACTCTAACATTTATTACATGTTTTTTTTTAAGAATAAAAAAAGGGAGTAAGCTATAATCCTATTTGACTAAATTCAAAATTAAAATTCCATCTGTTTTTAGACAATTTTGGTTGTTGATTTTTAATGTTAGTCTTTTACTGTTGGCCATATTTAGCCTAAATACAGTTCATAGCTACCTACACTTACATTCAATGAACTTTAAAACAATGATTTTAATTTCAGGCTCCAATGTTCCCTAAACCTTTTCTCATATGGTTTGAGGAAAAAGCTGTGCTCTGCTATTCAAGAGCTATGAATACATTTTGCTTAATAACTGCCAATCTTTATGTACAAGGTGTTTGCCCATATATGGTGACAGATTGATAACTTGCAAAAATCTTAAATTACTTTCAAGTAAGCTCTCAATGAGGTAGAACAAAAGATGAGGATACACAGTATGAGAATAATTGTATTTGAGTGATTCTTATTTTCATTATCACTCTCTCACGGAAGAGGAAATTGACAGAGAATTTTGAAAGACTATTTAACGCCCGATCAGCGCCTCATTATAATACTAATGAAAGGTAGGGGGACTAAAATCATTGAGTACCTAATTTAATCCTCTTTAGACATATTCGTTTCTTTGTTTTGAGACAGTAAAGTGAATGCTGACTCAGACAGGTGAGAACCAGCCTGAAGTCACACGGATGGAGGCAGCAGAGCTGGGATTGGATTCGGTTTATCAGATTTAGACACACCTTTTCCACAACACTGCTCTGTCTCTATCTCTTTTAAAAAAACGAGGCAGGTTAGATCATAATTTTTTGGTGTCCTGTTCAAATGGTATTCCAGTGTCACTAATCCAAATTATTTAACAGCCCATCAGCAAAAAATTTTAAGTTATTAGTTTTTTTAAAAAAATTTTCACTGACACATATTTATAGGGTACGTAGTGATGCTGTAATACCTAATACCTGCATTGTGATCAGATCAGGGTAATTGGCATCTCCATCATCTCACATGTTTATCATTTCTTTGGGCTGGGAACATGTCCTCCCTCCAGCTGTTTGAAACTATATATTATTGTTAACTATAGTCATCCCACAGTGTGCTATAGAACACCAGGACTTACTGTCCTACCTAGCTATAATTGTATATCTTTTAACCAATCTCTCCCCATGTTCCCCTTACTCCTACCCCTTCCAGACTCTTGTATTCTCTGTTCTACTTTTTAAAGTCATTATTTATCAAAAAATTTTCCAGAGGCCTCTTTTAGTTTTATAAAAGATCAGTTATTGTAGAGAGGAGAGAATTCCTTCATCTTAGCTGGCAATATTTATGAAGTTTATAGGGTATAAATAGAGCAAGAAAAATATGACAGTGTGTGCAGAGATATATGCATCCACCCTACCTATGGTCATACGTCAGGCTAGGGATAGAGGTGGTCTCAAAATGAACTTGTACTGATAGGCAGCCCCAGTAGCTGAGCGTAGTCTCTAATTAGGGCCTGTTGGAATCCATTGCTTTCAATAGGCTCAGTTCTTTGTCTAAAGATCTGAACTTAATTTTTACATGGCTTTTATCTTAGAGGATCCAGGACAGTATACTAGACAGTATGCTAAAAGCATAATTTTATTATTAAAGAATCCATTATCTCTGGTTGATTGTCCAGATTCTACTGTTCCTGTATAACATGTGACCTGGATAGAAGTTCCATTGGAGGAGGCTCCTGATGTTTAACAGAACCATTTACATCATTTGCACACTTTGAACCATGCATCATTATTTTCATGGATCCCTTGAGGTTACTACCATGTTTCTCCCAAAATAAGACCTACCCAAAAATAAGCCCTAGCAGGATTTCTATGCATTTGTTAAATATAAGCCCTACTCTGATAATAAGACCTAGTGATGGGCATGGCTATGCAGCCTATCTGCATAGCCACGCCCTGCATTTCTGTGTGGAGAGGAAGACATCCCCTGAAAATAAGCCCTAGTGTGTCTTCTTGAGAAAAAATAAATATAAGACAGTGTCTTATTTTCAGGGAAACATGGTAGTATACTTCATTGGCCTGAGACTAACTTATAAGAATCCATTGTGCCATCTATAAAATGCTTCCTTTATTTCATGGACCAGCTGCTTTGAGGCAGAAGTATCTGCCCCTTGAACCTTCCTTATTTTTCAAAGTCTCTTGACAACACAAGATTTGTGTTAAGTAATTTGGCAGCACGTTGGTAGGCCTCTGACCTCCAATCTTCTGGAAAATCTCCATCAACTACTCCTCTCCAGTGGAAAATCACAATAAATCTGCTCTATAATTGAATGGAAGATTACAACTAAATACATATTTTTTGAACAAATGGATTTAAAGGATGCATTCTTGTCACTACCCATAATTTCTTAGAACCTACAATATCTCCCAGCCTGACCTAAGATCTTGACTTTTCCTTATGACTCTCAATTGCCATTTAGTTCTTTGTTACAGAATTCTTAAGGGCCTGCTGTGTTCCCGAGTCATTTGTTTAGTGCACATGTGTGACACCAAAAATGCATTTGCTCGTCTACACTTCTGTTGTCCTCCCTGCCCCCCGACTACCTGATGCGGTGTAGGCCCCTTCACACCTATAGTTGTTGCTTAAAGGAGGAGTGACTGATTTTATCCAGAGAAGGGGAAGGGGAGGAAAGGCCCCACAAATGAAATGGCTCGTAAGGGGAGTCCTGAGAGATGAGCAGCGGAAAAGGAAGCACTCAAGGCAGAAAAGTAGCCAAAGGGGAGCGAGTTGCAGCTGGGGCTACCAGGAGCTTACAGATAGTCAAGAGTGGCATACAGATTGCCTAGGAAGGGAGCAGCAGAAGTTAGGATCCCGTGTGCTTTTTGACAGGGTTGCTGCGATGTTTGGTGGGTGAAGATGTGGCACATGTACATTGTGTCATCTCGTAAGAAATACACATATCGTCAGTCCCTGACACCAAGGTCCTAACGCCCTTGTAATTTCCCAGGGGCTTTGGAACTGCTGTAGACAACTGGATAACATATCTCATGGAGAACAGAGGCTTATTCAAAATAAATACTTTCTAAAAGGGGGGGAGTTTTTATAGAGGGAGGGTAAAAGGCAGGACCACATCTATGGAGCATATTGCAAGGGTACAAGTCAAACCTGTCAAGTGTAGAACACAAATGTCTTAACACAATAATCAAATAAATGAGGCGAAAGCTATGTTGATAGGTTTGATGTAACCACATCAGATTATTTATAAAAATCAACACATTGTACCCCACATATGCATAAATGTATTCATGATCTATGTGTGTATACTTAATAAAAAAAATAAAATACATTGGTCAGTCCTTTGGGACGCTAAAGAAGGATATATTTTCCAAACAACAACAAAAGAATTAATTGCTAGCCAGGGGTCCTTAAACTTTTTAAACAGGGGGCCAGTTCACTGTCCCTCAGACCGTTGGAGGGCTGGACTGTGGGCCCCGGGACAAGTTGGCTGCTAAGCAGGATGGGCAGTGGTGCCAAGCACCTGGTGGGCCGGATAAATGTCCTAGGTGGGCTGCATGTGGCCTGCAGGCCATAGTTGGAGGACGCCTAGCCTAGATAGTGCGATAATCAGTCTCTGACCAAATTGCTATGCTATTGCATCGCGTGAGAAGCCTGAATGTATGTTTAGATCGATAAGGGACATATTTCACTCACTTTTTTTTAAAATTAAAGACTCACTTAGAGAGTGACAAATTTTTGTACAGATGAGATATGACCATAAATGTTGGCTAGCAAAGCGAAAAGAAAAATAGGAACTGGTACAAATCTAAAATGATGGAATTTAATTAAATTTTGTATAACATCTGTCTTCTCATTCAAGAGGCACTGGGGATACCCTTGTAGACTTTTACTGAAAACCAGGCCATACATACTATAAACCAAATTGTTTTATTTTCTCGTTCCAAGGAAAAGAGGCCCATTGGTATCACAGTGATGACTTAGAAGGGAACATCTGAGGGTGAACTCGCTGGAATACAGTTGTGTGTGTCTGGAATAATAACTCCAAATCCTTCGAAAAGGGGCAGAATAATTTTCAGATGCATTTTCAGCGATTTGATTCACACATGAACTGGAAGCGTATTAGTGAGTGTGTGCCTGAGAAGCTTTATGAGAGAGTTTCCTAAGCAGATTGTTAAAAAAAAAAAAAAAGCAGCCTAAAAGATATTAATTATTTAAACAGCGCAATTTAATAAGAGCAATAGAAAGGATAAATCTGCATCAGTAATTACTTTTGTTTTCAACTAATAATCAAAGATCCTCTCTTAATAAACCTAATTATTGCATGTAGAAATTTATATTTGAGAAGAATTAAAAGGGAAACCCTTGATTAGGATTTTAGGATGTCAATAACCTTTCTTCCCCCATTGAGTTTCTTACCAAGGAGCACAAACACAAGATGTATAAAGGAAAATGAGAAACAAATAACCATTCATATTTTGAGGCAAACAACTGAGAACCCCTAGTGTTTGAGGGCTTTGCTAAAAAATTTTAAAAGCTAACTGTTTTGACAGAAGAATTTGGATGGCCAAGTTTGGGGTAGGGTGCCGGAATGAGGCTTCCTGCTTCTTTCATTCCTTAGCAATTTTCACACCACTCCACGTCTGAAGTCTCTGCCCTGTCATCCTAAACTTGAGTGTGGATCCTACCTCTATCGTTTATCAAAGCACAACACTAGTATAAGAGGAACAAGCCAGCGAGACAGAGGCAAAATGCATGCATGTGCATCCACGAAGCATGTGGCTTATATAAGGTCTGGGAGGCGTACGTGGTGTGCAGGGCAGTGGTCTACGCTCAGCAGGGCAGGGGTCGGTCTATGCCCAGCAGCCCCAAGTGAGAAGACAGAGCTGACAGACTGGAGAGGGAGATAAACCCTGACCCTCTTATCAGGCCAACAGCATCTCAGGAAGGGGAAGGAGACAACAAGACAGGTCATATTCCACCACAGCCATGACTAGAACACAGTGATGCCATCCTTGAATAGAACAAAATACAGGGCATGTTGACCTAAGCTGATCAACCCCTGGCGGAAGAAATAGAAGAGGTATAAAAAGAGAGAGGATGAGAAGTGACTCCTTGTTCTGGCTAGAACATGGTCTGAAAACCCTCCCTATGTAATACTAGGTGAATAATAACAGAAATTATGTTACATGCATAGCGGAGCTAACAAGGGAAAAGGTCCACATATCAGAAATAAAGAGGGAATTAAAAATGGAACAGTAACTCTGTGAATGAATGCTATGGTTGACCTTGGATTAGACGAGGAAGAAAACTAGAAAGGATAGGAAATACAGCCTTGGTGTTAAAATGGAGAGTAACAGCCAAGTCTCCAGCCTGGCCCTGCGTCCTAGACGGACATCCTCTGAAAGGATCAGCTAGAAGAATTCCACCCATAGGCCTGGGGAGATGACCAGTGAGAGATCTGGATTTGCTGGGCTCTCGATAGAAAAACAAAGTTCCTGCTTAGTTGTCATCTCTAAGTGTGTTCCTCATGTGGATTTGAGGTTAATTTATCAATTTGTAGATTTTTTTCATATAAATTTTCACTTTTATAAAAATGGTCTCATACCCTTTAATAGTTATGTGGTTTAGGTGGGCAGATTTGATTTTCATCTTTTCAGTGACACCAAAAGCTTCCTCAGACTATCGATTTCTGTAGACCAAACGGGGTCTGTCAGGTTGTGTGACCCAGCACGTTCAGTCTGAGCTACAATGTGGGAATAGTACTTCTTTTGCCAAACCCTATCTTTGCAGAAGAGAGCCCAAGAGATAATTCACACAGAAGTCCTCTGAATACTGTAGAAATTCCCTTCCAATGAATGGTGTGTTGTAATTTTTATTGTTGTTTCATTGCTTCTTTAAATAATTCACTTTTAAATATAGACCTAATATTAAGCAGATCAAAACCTCTTCTTATGATATCTTTAAAGTGAACAAAATTTGCAAAGAGGAAAAAGTATAAATTTGTATAAGTAGCGCGATCTTTAATATTCAAAAATATATGCTAAGACAAATTCTGGAAAGAAATGAGGTAAGGTATTACCAATACTTGTCTTTGGGGTAATAAACTAATGGGTGACTTTTAAATACGGATTTTGTATTTTCTAGTTTTACATGGTGATAAGGCATTACTTTTTTAATCAGGAAAAACTCCTACAAGCTGTCAATATCTAGATATTACATAGAACCTGTATATTTGTGAACATTTTCCAAACATTTACATGACTAATTTTAAACAGTCCTGTGCAGTACAGTAGGGGGCAGTATTTGTGTGACTCAATCCCCAGGGGATGGATGGGACCAGCAGAAATGTCCTATGCAGACATTTTAACATTAAAGATTTCTTGTTCACTGAAGAGGGTGGGGATTCTGTCCGTTATTTATGCAAGTGTTTAAATATCAGTAACTTTTTTGCAAGAAAATATTGGCACCACCTGCTGGCAGTCGTGTATTAGGGTGATGGTCTTCTATCCAGGTGAAATGAAATTGAACTTTTATGTATTTGTTTATTTTTTGCAGTTTTTGGCCGGGGCTGGGTTTGAACCCACCACCTCTGGCATATGGGGCCAGCACCCTACTCCTCTGAGCCACAGGCACTGCCCATGAAATTGAACTTTTATAAGAGTGTGTCTGCCTTATCCTGTGGACTGTGTTCCAATCACCACAATAATGGCTAAGTTTGTTTGGCTTTTTGAATTTTTTCTTTC